TTTTTTAAAAAAAATTAACTTTTTTATATTAAAACAATTTGACAAAAAATATATAATTAATAAACAAGTTGATGTCCGTTGAGTCGTTGATAGTAGATGTACACCAAAACCTCGTGACAGTTGTCACATAACCATATTAATGAGGGATGACCTTATACAAGGCCGTTGCCCGTACCTTATAAACTAGGGGAGTAGATTTTTGAAAGGAGAAAAAAAATACACGAGTCCATTGAAGATGGAACACGCAAAAAAAAGAAAAAACAGATGATGGTTAAGTTAAATTAAGGGGACTTTATTAAGCAAAAAAAAAAAACAAAAAAAATTAAGTTACTACGAGGCAAAAAACCGAATGGTCAAAAAACCTCGTCTATAAATTAAAAGGGAACAAAGAAAGAGAGAAAAAAAAATATATTAATAAAAAAAATTAGTTACACCTACACTTTTATTGTTAGAGACTACGATGAACGTCTTCGGGTACCCGCCGGCTATTAATCGCAGCATTGCCGCTAAGCACGGCGGGTATACGTCCCAAGTAAGCGACTGGTTTCTGGCAGTTAGGCTTAGCTTGCAAGACGTTGGGACACCCCGGAATAAAATGCACTACGTCACCACATTGTACCAATAATATATACATCACCCAATAAAGTATGATATAAAACCTATAAAAAGTCACAAAAAAAAAAATATATAACATGACAGGTGGTCTTGTACACGCCTGTCATGTTGCGGGACCTAAATAAAAAAAATATAAGGACACCTACAAAAAAAAACTATATAAAAAAATTCGCCACACGTGCTTATGGCACAGCGCACTAAAAAATAACTGGCTCAAAACATTATATACAAAACTTATACATTACCAGCCCCGAAGGGCTACAGAATATGAGGCAGGCTCAACCGACGCCAATAAACAATGAATTTACATTATAAAAAGTAGCGGACACTCGCGACAAAAAAAAAATATATATATATGATTGCAGTGCACACAACAAAAAACAAAAAAAAACTCACGCTACGGACGAAAATTAGCGACAACCAGTTCCGATGATGGCTAATTTCCGACAATCCGTCCGACGTTTGACCCGGCAGTCTGTAGGCGACAACACGGCTAGCCTTTGGAGTAGGGGTCAAAAAAAAAACTTAAAACCCAGTGCCGGAAATTACTACGAACAATTTAAATAAGGCGACAATGTATGCGGTGAGCAGTGCAAATGACGTTCAAGATAGGAAAGGAGAGGGGTGAATGTACACACAAATGCCGTCCATTAACCGGTCTGAAGTAGTACACAGCTGACTACCTCGCACGCGCATAAACAAATCACAATACCTTATCATAATAATATTACTGACAAACGCCGTCGCAGTCCGCATTCGGCTCAAAACATATATATATATATATATATATACAAATAGACAAAAAAAATAACAAGATACTTTTGTCACGTTACAACTCTCTCATCAAATTTCAATATTCATTTATGTTTTAGAAATTATTTAAAATATAAGTGTATTATAATTTTATAAGGAAAGAGGTTACGTATCGATAAATATTATATAAATTAGTTGTGGGGATTGTACACTACTCGCAAATGCGATCACCGCACACACATTATTAACAATTGTATTGTTTCTCAATAAAGACTTATTTTCCCTTTAACTATTTGATGTTGTCTTTCATATTAAAAACACAACTAAATTATGCCTACTACAATATAATAATCATTAAAATTTATTTTAAACGTTTTAGAACTTATTGAAGATTCGGTAGAAAATTGCATAATATATTAAAATTTCTAAAAATATTGATTAATTTTTTAAAACCAATTAAATGTGAATCGAAAAACGTTAGTCAAGTAAAAGCTTACACTATAATGATAATATTTTTGCAAATTAAATGATTTTTTTACGAGAAATTGTGGTACAAACATTATTAACAAAATTGAGTGGTCCAGAAGACCGCACCATACCATTAATGTGATTGTTTCTCCCTACCACTTACGACAGTAGTTTTAGTATATACTGGATATCAATCGTTAATAATCTAAAAAATCTCACTTTACTATATCTCTACTGCACCTTTTAAATTTTATTTTATACAGAACATTTACAATCTATACTACATAATTTAACAGTATAAATGAGTACGTTATTATTTTTCAAGTTTCTCAATTACTCCAAGGATGAATTTTCATCCTAAAACCCGAACATTTTTTTATCATTTTATGTATTTCTTAACTCTACTGTTCAAAACTTATCTTAAATAAAAAAAAAATTAAATTTGATTCTTTTGTATTAAAATTTTCAAATAACTCACAACAATATTTGTAGGTTTTGTTCGTCTACAGGTTCCTAAATATCGGTTGGCCTGATTGACTTAGGACGTGAATAAAAGGAAACCCCAAAAACTTAGTAAATAAAGAAACTCAAAAGGAATTTGTCTATAATAACAATATTAGTGTAATTAACAGTAAACTTTATAGTTGGGCGTCCCCACTTACATTAATAATAACAAATAAATATTACACTGAAATAAAATGAGTACAAATATAAGATTTAAGTGTTGTAGAATTCAATAATCTGACCTGGGCAGAACACTAATGATCGGATTATAACTGTTCTCCTCAACCAACTTCAACCGTTTGAATGAAACAAAACTCAATTATATTGATCATACGCACGGTAAATCCCCGTATTCACATATATGTGACGTTACCGCAAGTCGCGGAACAAATAAATATAGTTTAAAAAAAAACTAAAAAACACGCTTTTAAAGCACATCGAACTAAAAAGTTAAAAATAATTTTTAAAATTAACTTAAAACAATAATGAACGAAAAATACTAGTATTATTGTGAAAAAAAGCGTCAGGCGCTCAATATACAAAAAATATGGCATAAAGCACCCACGCTTTTTTTCACAATAATACTAGTATTTTTCGTTCATTATTGTTTTAAGTTAATTTTAAAAATTATTTTTAACTTTTTAGTTCGATGTGCTTTAAAAGCGTGTTTTTTAGTTTTTTTAAACTATATTTATTTTTCACTTTTTAGTTTCATGTTATGATAGTAGTTAATATCAATATCATGGTTGTAACGGGTAACGGGAAATAAGGGTTCGATTCCGGAGAGGGAGTCTAAGAAACGGCTACCACATCCAAGGAAAGCAGCAGGCGCGTAACGTGGAGGTAGTGACGAAAAATAACGATACGAGAATCATCCTCCGTAATCGGAATGAATACACTACATATCTCTTAATGAGAATAAAGTGTATTAATATATAAGTTTTAATAGTAATTAGAATATATATATATTTAAAGGGACTTAAGTACGTAAACGTATCATGCATGAGGTATAGCCGTGTTTATGTGGGCGGGCATGGCGGAGGGAACATTATACACGAGGCATAAACGGCGGCAGAGGCGTCGGCTGTAGGAATATATAAATGAATATTAACATATACGTATATACGTATAAATATAAATATATATTTATTAATATTAGCGGTGGCGGTAGGAATATATAATCTTCGCATAATATCGTGGCACTTTTGCTGGCGTCGAAGACGCGATGTCCGGCGTGATTCTCGGGCGTCAATAGGTTAGCAGCGTAGATGACGACGGTGCGCGAGTGCGGATCAGTTTGTTGACGATGTTATTTTGACAATGGGAAGAAGACTACGGTATAGCGGCGGGACGTCGTCGGCCGTGAGGCACTTGCTGGACTTTGCACCGCGGCGTAAAACGACGCGGGGCTGTGTCAATTACAATAAAAATTTGTTATATATATATATATACAGAGTGTTCTGTAAGTCAGGAAACGGGTTTCTATTGTTCTCATTGTTTGTAACAATGAGAACAATAGAAACCCGTTTCCTGACTTACTGAACACTCTATATAATTGATGATAAGCGCGCGTCTACGGGTTGGAAAATATTGTTCTCTACGAATGGTGAGCGGGGTGGGGCGAATGCGTTACAACAGTTTAGTCTCAAGGTCATACACGACGGGATACGCGACATAATAACACGTGCCGCGTGGAGTTACAAACTTACAAACAACAACAAACAAACAACATACAAGTGAAACTAATATAAGCGTGTTAAAAACACGTGGCGACGACGATAGGTCTAATCAACTGGACCTTACAATGGTTGACTGGTAGACAAGGCGACGACTCACCATATGGCGAATTTGGTACCGACATACTATCGCACCTCCACCCACTACACGCAACCGGTTCCATCCGGGCCGCAAGTTGAACGCAACCACATAATTCGCCGCAACAGGTTTTATATGAGAACTTTTTGCTATCATATAAAAAAGATAAAAATTTTTTATTGTTACAAATATTATAAATACCAATAATTTTTAAATAATTTGCCAATAAAATAAATTTTATGTCACTGAAAAGCATCATTAATTTAAGATTTTAGTTTATTTCTGTTACGGCGTGCTCTATTATATGAGTATTATTATTTTTTTTTTTTTTTTTATATTGTGATAAGCGGACGATCGGTTTTACTCAGCGGAGAAAAAACAGTCTCCTAATAAATGCCTCACTATGCACATATAGAAAAAGTTCGTGTTATTAATTTATAGTTAAGCGACCAAAGTAATATTATTCTCGTAAAAAGTTAAAATACAGTCCACAGTCGTAACAATTTCAATACTAATTTATCTTTTAGTTCAACTCATATACAGTAATTTGAGATTTAAATCAGAACTTAAGAAATTGTTAAACGTGATTTTTGTAATATTAACAAAATAAATTATATCAATTTATAATAAAAGTAAAAATAACTGAATCAATTATTATCAGCTCAATTCTATAAAAAGTAAATATTACATTATCAACAAATGTATATTATGTGCTTATAAGAAAGTTTTAAATGTTATCCAATAATTGAAAAATCATAGGTAGTTTCGATCTATCAAACATTTTTTTCTACCTAGTAAGCTAGAAACATAACTCAAATAAATAAGTAAAAAAAACATTTAATTGAGTTTATTAAATCATAAACACAATGCTTTGTATTTAAATGTTTAAAAAAAAAATTTGTAAGAAATTTAAAGTGGTTACACAATTAATTAGTTTAAAAATACAATCTTACAACTTTTTTTTCATTATTAAAAATATGTGATTTTGAAACCAATTTATAATTACAATAATCAAAATTTGTTACTTATCAAAACGTACAAGAATTTTTTTTTCTCATAAAATTTTTATCATTACCTTAGACTAATGTCATGCACAAGGTGTTAGTTACATTTTGGAATAATTTAGTTATTATGTATATATAGTACACATAATAAATTTCATTAATAAAGGTTTAGGATATACAGGGTAGCCCACCACTCACTGACAACTTAAATAACTTTTGATCCAGTTAATATTTTTAGCTGATTTTTTTTTTAAATAATAGTTATACGTAAAGTCTATAGCTATATCTCAATAATTATTTTTTTTACATTTTATTAAAAATATTAATTATTTTTTAATTTTAAATAAAATGTTAAAAAAAAATCTAAGATAGCTATTTTGTAGAGTAGAATTTAAGAAAAATTTTAATAAAAAAATATCTTAATAATATTCAGTAGTAAATATTCTGTAGCATTTTAGAGTTTGTGAAAATTTGAATTTTCATGTATTATTTTACGGTATTAAACATTGAATACGTATTGAGAAAAGGACAGAAGAAAACACTATCTTTTCGTGATTACTATAATTTGGAGGTGTGTAACTTTTTCCATGAAAATGACATACTTTTGAATGAGAGTGATAAGCAATAATTGCCTTATCAAATTTCTTATCATGGTATTAATGCCAAGGTTGTAAATTATACAATTTCAATGTTTAATACCGTAAAATAATACATGAAAATTTAAATTTTCACAAACTTTAAAATGCTACAGAATATCTACTACTGAATATTAATAAGATATTTTTTTATTAAAATTTTTCTTAAATTCTACTCTACAAAATAGCTATCTTAGATTTTTTTTAACATTTTATTTAAAATTAAAAAATAATTAATATTTATAATAAAATGTAAAAAAAATAATTATTGAGATATAGCTATAGACTTTACGTATAACTATTATTTAAAAAAAAAATCAGCTAAAAATATTAACTGGATCAAAAGTTATTTAAGTTGTCAGTGAGTGGTGGGCCACCATGTATAGGTCTTAAATGATGTGATAATCATTATTTTTTAATGTAAACTTATTTTACAATTATATAATATTTTGTAAAACTTGTCGTACTTCTTCAAAGATAGGTCTTAATCTTTCTAAATTACCACAAAAGGTCAAAGAACATATGACCATTGTTTTAAAACAATGATCTCGATTCTTACAAAGTGGACATAATTCAGAACTAACTGCATCTACACATAATCCTTGAACCGGAATATTCATCCATTGTTCAACCATATTACCTGATACACAAAATGACACATAAATTAATGTTAATATATAAATGGCTCTACAAAAATATAAACAATGAAAATCCTTCAAATCGAGTTAAATTAATCATTTTTAGCTTCGATGCGAAGCTGAGAAGATATTAATTTTATTATGATGTGTTTTTTTTTTTGTGTCTGTATAGTATACAGTGTATACGCTCAATTTCAGCTCTCGCTCGATTTTGATGAAAAATATGTCAAAAGATCACAAATCGTATCTCGTTGAAGAAATTACCCTCAAAAATTGAAAAAAAATCCCTCGTTAGCCGTAAACAAGGGAAATTCACCAAAAAATTACAAATTTAAAAATCGCTAAATTTCGATATTTTTTTAATTTTTTTTACTTAAAATTGCCATAACTTTTTTAAAAATGACCGAATCAATATAATTTTTTAAATACTTTAGATATTTACCTATCATTTTATATATTTTCGTGAACATTTGACCCTAAACAAGCCCACAGGAAAGGTTTCAAAATGGGGACTTTTTTACAAAAAATTAACTTTTCAATTTAACTTTTGAAAATGTTCCGGAAAGACTGACACTTTTATATATACCTTAAATTAAAGCTAATGTAATATACTTTAATTTGAAAAAAAAAATTGACCTCTGGATTTCTCTTCATGGTGAAAATGACTACCCTATGCAAAAATATGCTCTTTATGTGAAAAAATTCTTGATATTATATTTTACATTTTAGCTTCGATGCGAAAGCTGAGAAGGTATTGGTTTTATTATGATGTGTTTATTTTTATTTTTATTTTTTTTTGTGTTTGTTACCACTTTTTCTTAGCTCTCACCGAACCAATTTCTATCAATGATACGTCAAAAGATCACAAATTGTATCTAGTCGAAGACATTACCCTCAAAAATTGAAAAAAATTTCCTCGTTTCTCGTGAATGGGGGAAACCTTCAAAAAAATTATAAATTTAGAAATCTCTAATTTTCGAAATTTTTTCAATTTTTTTTACTAAAAACTGCCGTAACTTTTTCAAAAATGAACATATCAATATAAATTTTTTTTTTTATAAATGCTTGATGTCTTTACCTATCATTTGATATATTTTTTTTGTAAATTTGACACTTTATCTGCCCACAGGGGGTGATTTAAAAAGACAACTTTTTTAGAAAAAATTAACTTTTTCAACTTAACTGTTGAAAATGTTCCAGAATTTCCGAATCAATATAATTTTTTTTTTTTTTAAATACTTTAGATATTTACCTATCATTTTATATATTTTCGTGAACATTTGATCCTAAACAAGCCCACAGGAAAGGTTTCAAATGGTAACTTTTTTACAAAAAATTAACTTTTCAACTTAACTTTTGAAAATGTTCCGGAAAGACTGACACTTTTATATTTATATTAAATTAAAGCTAATGTAATATACTTTAATTTGAAAAAAAAAAAAATTTAACCTTTGGATTTGTGTACATCGTAAAAATGACTACCATATTAAAAAATTTGCTATTTTTGTGTTAAAATTCTGGGTTTTGTATTTTATTTTAAAATACCGTTCAAGGGTAGTACAGATTTTCATAAATATTATATAAATAATAATTAATATAGCATAGAAAGTTAAACTTATTTAAATTTGTTTGCTTCTTTTAAGTCGAGAAAAATAACTTTGATTTTTGAACTAGCTTAAATAGCCAATTTTTTCAGTCGGTGATAGCAACGTACGGTTGCCGAGTTGGTAAAACTTACGTTTTACACGCTTGGGGTACAAGGTTCCAACCAGCATATGGCTTTGATTTTTTTTGCATTTAGATTCAATAACTTCAATAAAGATTAAGGATCCCATCACTGTATTCGCCACTCGTGAGAAGAATTTTTTTATTCATATTAAAATTATTTTACTATATTTTAAGTTTTAGCTTCGATGCAAAGTTCAGAAGATATTTTTTTGTGACTATCATTTATTTTCTATGCTCTAACTTGACCTACTTTTATCAACGATACGTCAAATGACAACAATTCGTATCTAGTTGAAGATATTACCCTCAAATATTAAAAAAAAATTCTAATTTATCAATGAAACAGTTACTTATGCCATGTTCTCCATACAGACAATAAAAATCATTCATTTCTAATGTTTTCAAAGTATTTATTGACGAATCAAGTTTGGTATGATACGTTCAAATACAAAATTAAATCATTTTACTTTGTAATTTTATAATTTTTTTACTCTATTTGTGTGTGCTACTACTAGACTATAATATTCCAAATTTGTTGGTAACATGTTGCTATATAAATCATTTATAAAAAAAATAATTGTTAGTTTCTCCTGAATTAACAATGGATTTTTACAATTCTAATCAAATTATATAATACGCTCAATTGAGTAAATCTTTTTAACAACTGTGTTTTGATTGGTTCATTTAGTTAGTTATTAAAATTAATTAAGTTCTGAATATTTCCATTGCAGAATCTTTTCAAACACCAAAAGTTACTAGGAAATTATTACTATTAACTTCTATTTAAGTTATCTATAACGATAAAAATGCAAAAAAATATTGAGCTATTCTGATAAATTTACTATAAATAGTATTTATATAACTTCCTAACTGCATATTAATCTTAACGATACAATTTTTTTAATTCTCGTAAAATTTTATATTTAATGATGTCAATTTCAAACTTGCCAATTGAGCTAAAAGTTATGGTAAAATATATTAATTTTTTTTATTATAAACATTCACAAAAATCAACTTTAAACGATTAAAAAATTAGTTAAATATGTTATTATTTTATTATTATTAAATATTCATTATTTTTAACATATTAATAATCAAAATCAGTATTAATTTAAAACAATTTTTTTTTTGTTCTTCATTATTTTTTTTTATATGTAAATACTTATTTTTTATTAATAAGTAATAATATTAAAACTTAGAAGTAATAAAAAAAGTTTAATTGCACATTTGAAAACATCGCGAAAAGTTTATTTAGAAAAGTA